TTTTTCAAGATTTTGATAGCTTATTTTATGTACTTGCCGGCTTTTTTATCATTCAAATTTGGCTGGGTGGCTAATAACACATTTTTCTGTGGTGTGACAAACTCAGAACACATACTTAATTTCGACTTTACAGGGACTTTAAGGTTAAGGGAACGTTCCCAAAACATTCTCCTTACATTATAAAAATGGAACCTAAAGATAACCTACATGGAACGTTCCTATAACGTTTGGTTCGCAAAAAAATAACCTCATGGGACCATTCGGGAATGTTAGGGGAACGTTCTGTGTTTGCTGGGTATTTAGAATGATGAACAGCATCTCTTTTGCAGCTCAATACGCTTTTACATGTGACGTTACATGATTCGACTAATTTGAATGTGACATATGGTGAGAGCGCAGCGCTTTAACGGAAAGGAAAAAGGCATCATATTTCATGATCATTCGAAGCCAAAATAAAATAAAAAAAAATCACTATAACACAGCACTATTTTATTCTTGAGATCAAGGGTGCCCCCTGGTGGTTCGGGGGCCATACACAACTTGGGTACTTTGCATATAGGGAGGACTGGGACTGATGGCATCCACAACATACAATAACGTCCTGTTTATTAAGCGCACGCTGCTGTCCGAAAATGCTTGAGTTCTGTAAATTTGGGTTGCATTCTGATTGGCTGTCAATGACTTTTATCATTCATTAACAGGGGGAAAAAATCGCTCTGAAAGTCATTCCAACGAAATCACTCTTCGATTTCTAAATTTTTATTGCGCTAAATAAACCCACATCTGTTCACTATCCGTATCTTTAAAAAAATGCAAATGCAATTTATAGGTTTACACATGACTAATATATTACAAAATCAGAGTTTTGTTTAAAATGCATAAGTTGACTTAAAAATGTGTAACGTCTATAGTACTAAAGTCAATAGAAAATTGATGACTCAAATTCTCGTAAAAACCTTGATTCCCGAATGTCATTGAATAATAGAGCACAAAGCTAGACCTTTGCATGGAAGCTTGTTTAGTTTTTTTCCCAATTCAGATTTTTTAATCGGTATAAAATCGGTTTGCAAGTTATAAAGTCAGATTTGTGAGACACAAACTCGCAATTGGGATAAAGTCAGAATTGTTTGTATTGTTTTCTATAAAGTCTGTGTTTTTTTTCTTCAGAATTGTAAAATTATAACTAGCAATTATGACTTTAAATCTCGCAATTCTAAGAAAATAAGTAGGAGGTGACTTCACATATCTTGATACAGATGGTACCGTTTACCAGGATACAGGAAAGCAAAACATTAAGACTGTACAATCACAACAGAATGTGAAGGTTAAATAAATAAAACAGCAAATTACAAAACAATGTCTTAAATGCTTAGCTCTAAAAAGACACCTGAATGTAGTGTTTGGACCAATCACAGGGAACTCATTTACATAGGCCTAGTACACACCAGGACAGTTTTACTTGGAATAGTTGACTTTGTTTTAGACAGAATAACAGCATTCAATTGAAAAACACTGAACATTTGTGATTGGCCGACATCATTTTTTTTTTTCATCAGTTTTTTTTTTTACTCCTCCAAGTTCCAACCACAATTGAGAAGTGTTTCTCCCTGGTGAGGTGATATTAGGATCTCGCAAGGACAGCAATTATCGGAGCGGTAGGAAGTTCACTGTAGAGGTTACAAACTGGGTGTTAATCACTCGTCCAATCATCTCGGGGAAGGTCTGAGACAAGAGCCAATCGCTGTCCTCACAGGACATCATCTGAATAGATGAGCGAGTGCACAGGAAAATGGGTCGCAACGCGGTATTCACGCACAAGACGTTGGTAAGCAAAATAGTGAATCAACTGATGCAGCCGTCGTGGACTTGGAAACACTCGCGGCTGGCGCAATGAGTTCAATGTGTGAACCAGCACAAGATGCTGGAACCCAATTCAGACTACTCTCCCACTGCTCTTTTATCTAGATAATATAACAATGTAAGATATAAAATATATTTCTAAAGTATCATGTGGATTCAAGGATTTTATCGTTCAACTGGAAAGGTTCTGAAAGTCATTCCAATGATTTCGCTTAGCCTATCGGTGCAGCGTGGACGTGGACTTCCCTTTTCTTAAAGGGATACTTCACCTCTGTTTGGCTTATGTGGATGAAGGACAACAACTCCCAGAATACACTTACACACACACACACGCACACTGTGTGCTTACCAGTAACAGAGCGCAGCAGTTAAACAACAAGTCTAGGCTACTAGTGAGTCTCGGCGATGAGTCTGCCCGGGTTTTTGAGATCGCCCAAAATGTCTGGGATTCGGCTTTTGCGTTCTACATTCACCATTCATTATGTTTACTGTGGTGATCAGTACGAGGCTGAGGGCCGCGGGAGAATAGCCGGTGGCGTGATTACCAATGGGCGACACCTGTGAGACGCACCGGTCTCGTATCTCTCACGGAGGAGCGGGAATTTTCTTAGCATTAGCAATGTTAAAAATGCACATCAACCGATCACTTGTTTAGCGTGTGTAACTACATTCAGATTCACCGATCAGAATGAATTTAGTTAGATAGAACAAAAGGTGTGCATGTAAACAATGAATGGCGACTGCAGAAAGCAAAAACTGAATCCCGGACATTTTGTATGAGCTTGATGGCCGGACATGTCTGGGAAAAATAGGATGAATGGGAACCTATACTCAGCTTTCTCCTACTCATTACTCAGCTTTTCCCACAGAACAAGAGCCTACTAGCTTATGCAACTATGTGCACATTCTGTGAGTGAGATCCCACCCTCTATGGGTGGGTTTAGAACATGATGCGGGACAGACCCTAATGGCTGTAGTCTTTACCCTCTGACCAAAAAATCGAAAAAATTACGATTTTTGTGCCATCGGAGGGTATTTTCCAGACAAAAAAAAATAAATCATCGGGATTACCCTCCCGGAGATCTCATCTGTGTACACCTCCCGCTGCGTACACAACATAAGAGACCGGTTCAATCCAGCACACGGCTTGTTCCACCTGCTGCCGTCGGGTAGGAGGTACAGGCCTTTTCCAGCCAAAACCACTAGAATGGCCAACTGCCTCTAACTTCAGTAGTCGTGTTGCGTAGTACTAATGTCGATAGAAAATTGATGACACAAATTCCGGTAAAAACCTTGATTCCTGAAAGTCATTGAATAATTAATATAAATAATAATTCAGATTTTTTCTCAGAATTGCGTGATATTAAATCACATTGCAAGTTATAAAGTCAGAATTGCGAGATATAAACTCGCAATTGGGATAAAGTCAGAATTGTGTAATATAAGCTATGTCACAATTGCGTTCTATAAAGTCTGTTTTTTTCCTCGAAATTGGAAATCATAACTAGCAATTATGACTTTAAATCTCGCAATTCTAGGTGATTTCACATATCTTGATACAGATGGTACTGTTTACCAGGATAGAGGAAAACAAAAAATAAGACTGTACAATTACAACAGAACGTGAAGGTTAAATAAATAAAATACCAACTTACAAACAATATCTTAAATGCTTAGCTCTAAAAAGACACCTGAATGTTTCGACCAATCACAAGGAACTCATTTACATAGACCTACACACCTGGACAGTTTCACTTGCAATAGTTGACTTTGTTTTAGACAGAATAACAGCATTCAATTGAAAAACACTGAAAAATGTATGACTATGTATAAATGTTTATGATCTTTACATACATTATCTTTTTCATCTGAGTTTTTTTTTTACTCCTCCAAGATCCAACCACAATTGAGAAGTGTTTCTCCCTGGTGAGGTGATATAAGGATCTCGCAAAGACAGCATTTATCGGAGCGGTAGGAAGTTCACTGTAGAGGTTACAAACTGGGTGTTAATCACTCGTCCAATCACCTCGGGGAAGGTCTGAGACAAGAGCCAATCGCTGTCCTCACAGGACATTATCTGAATAGATGAGCGAGTGCACAGGAAAATGGGTCGAACCGCGGTATTCACGCACAAGACGTTGGTAAGCAAAATAGCGAATCAACTGATGCGACCGTCGTGGACTTGGAAACACTCGCGGCTGGCGCAATGAGTTCAATGTGTGAACCAGCACAAGATGCTGGAACCCAATTCAGACTACTCTCCTGCCGCTCTTTTATCTAGATAATACAATTATATCAAATATATATTTATAAATTTAAAGAACACGAATAAGAAAGAATACATTTGAGACGATTAGTTGTCTTCAGTTATGGCGGTATTGTGTGTCTTTATTAAAGGCTAAATAACTGTTCCAAGCAAACTATTCTTGTTTCATACAAGGATAGTTTTCAAACCACAAAAGTGACACAAAATTATAGCAACAGTTCGCTGCTCCTGCCCATTCACACAAAGAACGATAGCCTATATAAGATAACTAGTAATAATACTGTATCCAGTGCATCTAGACGGGGGCCCCTAAACAAAACCAACAGTCTTTTCTTTTTATAAGGCTACAATATCAAACACTGTTAAATAAGTTGGATACAATTTTATTACAATGCCCTTAACTGTAACGTTAATCGAGTTGGCATGCTGAGGTTCGCTGATCCATCAACAAAAATGTAGCCTAAGTGCAGTTTATTATTGCTTTAACAACATGACTAATCACAAATCAGTGTTTTTTTTAGTTGACTATCTAATTTTTTAAAATGTTATTCGTGAGATTAATATGGAAAATTTCGGACAAAAACACATTGAATTGAGCACATAGAAATGTCATTTTTTTTAGACCTCCACGGAATTCAGGCTTCAATTACAGCTATCGGTAGCCTATTAAGAATTTGTCATCTGTAAGAATTTACAAAATCTTTTTTATTTCGTGTCATGACAGTGGTTACTGTTATCGGCTTATCATGCTAGGCATGATACAAATTTAGCACCGTTTTACCAAGTGGGTAACTATGGTTACCACAAGGTAAAAGGATAAGCGCGTGGCTCTGGGGCGGGTGGTTCGCGGGTTTATCATAGAACGAACAGTTAACGTTACCCAAACGACTATCACGCTGGAAACAGCCTGGACGGTTCTTTTGATTCTCATGTGAAGGCTGGCTGTGTTATGAGTGTTACGTGCCTTCACTGCTCGGTGTTCCAGTACCGCGCCCGGACGGAAATGTGTCTTCCGGGGGAAAGCTGCTTTCAGCAAACAAGACACCGAGCACATCGCGCCACACAGCCTGGACATCTGCAGCTTTCAACAGCGTGTGCCTTTCTAAGAACGCAAGCGGTTTGATACGCAAATCTATGGCCAGACCTATGCGTCCCAGAGGGGAGAAGAGCCGTGGAAAATCAGATAGAGAACCGTAAGAGCTCAAACCTCAAATTTTGCTATTTCATTCTGATCTTAGTGCCGTCATTCATGGATGTGCACGCAGAGGCGGGTCCGTTGCACGTGCAGACGGAGGATGAGCCACCGGGAGGCGCCACCGTGACCGTGGATGCCGCACAGTTTCAGCTCCAGTCGGTGGGGACCGACGGGGAGTTCAGCGGGGATGACTTGCCGACGGACGCTGGAGCTCAAACACTGCTGCCTGATCCGATCACAGAGATCGAGAACGAGGATGGTGAGTGTGCAGGGACGGGCACACCTGGCGAGGACATCGCGGGGAAAACGGAAACAGTGGGCTCCAGTTGCAGCAACGAGAGCTGCATCCCGACCCCAGGCTGTCGGATCTGCTTTCAGGGAGCCGAGCAGGTGAAGTAGGGCCGTTCATTTCATCCGTCTGCGCTATTTATTCGGGGGCTATGCATGTATGCGTCACACAGACGTATTTGGTTGTTCCAGGACTACGCCATTCAGAATTAAATTGAGAATGCCCTAAATTCCTGAATTTGAACCAAGTTTGAATTAAAGTAGTAAATGAAAAGAAGTTTGGCAGATGCTTTGCCTTTTCCAGACAGTAACACCACAAGCAATTCTGTGAAAGTTTAGGCACTTGTGCAAAAATGCTGTAAATAGATTTTATCAATTAACTTATTAACTAAATCAAATCAATATTGGGTGTTACCACTTTAAACCAGCTTTTGTCCAGGTACACTTGTCTTGCACAGAGTTTTTCAAGTTAGCTTTGCAGGTCGGGTTCTTCAATCATCTTGGAGACAGTGCCACATTCCTTCTGGATTTAGTCTGTCTCGGTTTTTAGTCTGTTTCTTCATTAACTGTCTATAGTTTCTTCATGTAATCCCAGACGGACTTGATGTGAAATTAGATCTCCGTTTGGAGCATACCTGCTATTATCAGACTCCTTGTTCATACAAAAATCTCAGTGGATTGCAAAAATTAATGGCGAAAAGGAATGTTTGGACATGTAAACTGATACTTCCTGCTGAGTCTGACACACTACAGAAAAATAAATAAATAACTGGCTTAAAACCTTTTCGCATGTGTGTGTGTAAATACTAATGTGTCTAAGACTTTTGCACAGTAATGTGTATATAACTTTTGTGGACTGGGTGGAAGAGCAGTTTCCCATAATGCACCACCTGTGTTGAATTTCATAACTGAAAATACAATTCAGTAAATTCCATAGACTGGTAAATTCATTTTCTTATCATTCCAATTCAACTTCAGTTTCAATTTCCTCTAAGGTGTGGCCAATGCAATTCAAGTGTAAGCTACAACATAGCAATTCATAAATACTGTACATCCAACTGTTGACAAGTGTTAGGGCAGTCTGACATCTTTTAAATTGATTTAGGGGCCTACATAATTCATGCAATTATTAGAATATCGGAAACCTCAGTGATTCGTAATGCTTTAAACAGACAGTGTGGTGGTGTGTGTGTGTGTTTGGTGAGATCCATTAGAATATGTGCTGCTCCATTCAAGTCTAATGCTCTTCACTTCCTGCAGCTAATGTGCTTCCTCGAGGCGCCTTGTGTTTGTGTATGTGTGTGTGTGTGTGTGTGTGTGTGTAAGTGTGTGCAAAAGTGTTCCACTTAGTTTCAGACTCATTACAGGTCCAAATGAGGATGTTTCTGAAATAATTCATGAATGCACAGATGAATCATTTCCCATCCACTCACTGAGTCATTGTGTGTAGTGTTTCATTCACTCATTTCGACATGGTTCCACAAACACAATGCTCTACTCATCTTCAATGGCAGTATGACACACAATAAAACAGCCATCAGTTATCAGCTCAGTCATCTGTGTTTTACCATTGTGTGTTGTGATTGGCTGATTGTGCGTGTTGGCTGTGATTGGCTGCAGGGGGAGCTGCTGAGCCCGTGCCGCTGTGCTGGTTCTGTTCGGCATGCCCATCAGCAGTGTTTGCTCAAGTGGATCAGTGAGAAGGGCTCCTGGAGCTGTGAACTCTGCAACTACAGATTCAACATACTGCCTATACATATCAAACCACCACAACAGGTAAGCACATACATAGGAGTGTCTATTTTAACACTAACTCCGCCCACTGACGTCTGGTTGGGTCAGACAAAATGATGGAAGACGCTATAGGATTAGACATGTGGCACCCGAGCACTCTCCCTTTTCCCATCATATTTCAGACCGGAAAGGCATTTATTTTCAATAAAAAGGAAGAAAATATTTATAAGTATAAAAAGCATTTAACTACTATTTACACTTACTGCAAATAAAATATTGGCATTTTACTGTTTACATAGTGTAAACAGAATCTTTTGCTATTTAAACAGTGCATTTAACGTAAATAAAACAACATTTAACGAATAATTTAAGTCTTGCAAAAGTGTATATCAGTATTTGTTCCTGGTTCATTTTGAATCAAAAAATGATTCATGGTTCAGTAATTGCTCTGAACAATTTACTTACTGATTCAAATGACTAAAGGCCTGTTCACACCAAGAACAATAACTATAAAGATAACCACATTAACATCCACACCAACATTATTATAAGCTTGTGGTGCAGTAATGTCGTCTGCCGCTCTATGCTGGAGCTCTTTAAAGTCGGATAGATTGTGATTTGTAAAACTTTGAAGTTATAATTATTATCGTCCCTGATGTGAACGAGCGATTTCACAATGGTTTTGTGATTCGTTTTGACTGATTCAGTTAAACAAACCAGTCATTTGTTCATGAATGGGACAACACGGCTTGTGCTGTGCTGTCGCCAATGCTGACCAGATTAAAGAATAATAAATAAATATATATATATTTGTCACATTTGTGTTTAATATTAGTTTCAGTCTGGAGCTCTGACTGTGTTTGTATGTTTTGCCAGTGGCAGACTGTCACCATGACTCTGGTGGAGAAGGTTCAGGTCATTGCAGTGATGCTGGGTGGCATCTTTCTATTGGCCAGTGTGTCGTGGCTGCTGTGGTCAGCACTGAGTCCAGCGGCACTATGGCAACGCAGTGACATCCTGTTCCAGATCTGCTATGGCATGTATGCAGTCATGGACCTTGTGTGTATTGGTGAGACACTAATAGATAAACTCCAACCATATTAGTTCTATACAAAGCCCTTTTCTCAAGCTAATATATGCTGATTTTGCGAGTGCATGTCCATTTAACTTTGGCTGACAAATCGAAAATGATCTAAAAACAAAAGTAGGGCTGGGTTGACCATGTTGATTAATCGATTTTTATCAATTGTGATAAACCGATATCGATTAAAAATCCCAAGTCTATTTCAGGTGATGCATCAATCAAAACTTATTATAAGCATGCCTGCCATCCAATAATTACAATAAGCTTTGTTAATTTTGAAATTAAACCTGAGATTGTGACTGTTTGAAATTCTCAGCTTCAAATTCTGTCAATTATATCACAAAATTAAAACAAATAAATACCATTTTGGCACTCTTCAGTTATAGCAGTTATACAACTTAAAATCATGACTCATGTAATCCCTCAATCACTGTTTCAACCCTGGAAAGATGTTAAACAACAGCTTGTAAACAATGTCCATAACTCAATATTATTTAGCTAGAAAAAAACTCGAGGGAAAAGCATTTTTATTTTTTATTATTCATATTTTTTACTTATCCTGCTAGTGATATTTAGGCCCGGTTTCACAGACAGGGCTTAGATTAAGCCAGGATTAGGCCTTCAATTAGTTCAACTATATTGTTAAATATTAAATCCGCCTTATGTGAAATTTAAATATCTAAAAATAAATAACAGTTTAATTTAATAGTTTGGTCTTGTTTAGTCACAGCTTTAATTCAGTTCTTTTTTTTTCCCTCAAGCAAATTTGATGTACTTTACTATATATTTACAAATGAATCCACCTCGAATCACATTGAAATCAGAATCAAATCATGAAATCTGTCAATAACCAGCCACTAAAAAAATGTGCTAATAATAGATTTGTGTTTCAGGTCTGATTGTTCATGAAGGTGGAGCTGTGTACAATGTGCTCATGCGCTGGCGGGCCGTTAATCTCTTCTGGGATGTCCAGAACTACGATAAAAGCCGAGACCTGGAGACCACACACAGCCTTCACCGCAACCTGTGGCTGCCTCTCACACACACACACACAGTCTCCAACGCACACTCACTAACCACCCGACTGGAGTCATCACCTCGATGCCCCCTCCACCTCTTCTCCATGTGCCTGAATGTGACCTCTGACCTCTCCCCACAAGAGCAATGCTCGGGCGAGCATGTCATCAGGGTCACGTCAGTTTGACATGATATCAACTCTTTCAGGGACCAATCCACTCTCCCTGCACCATCCTGTTGTGGGAGGGGCTAACCAGTGGGAGGGGCCTCAGTGTTGGGAGGAGCCTTACTTGAAAAGCACTTTAGATATGCAAACTGATTTAAATTATATATTGAATTGTTACTTTGAGCCTGGAGTTCTGGATCAGCCTTTGAGCATCGAAGTAAGACTACAAAGCACACATGGACTTAAAATTATAATGCACACAAAATGTATTACTGCTGTTAGACGAATGAATGTTTCTTTTTGGTTCAGGTTTTCAATTTCCATACTGATAAACTAGTGGCAGTCGCATGGAACTTTCAAATTGGTTGTGAAGGAGCCATTCCTCCCCTTATTCACCATGGTATCCACACGAAACAAATGAGCGCTCATGATACATTTGAAGTTTTTCTAGGGCTAATTGATGTAACCGATTATGTAATGATATAAAATAATTATTTATAACTACCCATTTTACAGAAAGAGTGTTTAAAGAATAACATTTTAGTACAAAAATATTGGTGATTTTTACTTTCTAGGTTGTAGTTTTGTTTAGGATATCATACATCATCCAGTCAGGCGGTGCAAATGTTCAAATACTACTTCAACAAAAGCTGCGAAAACATTGATTTCACAAGGAAGTAGTGGAGAAACGGGATATCAAAAAAGAAAACATTCAAATAAAATATAAAAAAAACTACATGCATTTATCAAAAACGACATATAGTAGATGAGCATAAGCAATTTGGCACAGTGCTAACAGTAATCATATAAAATGCCAGGTTTATTAGAAAGCTAGATAGGAGCTCATTGCATTACATTGGATTTTTCCCCCTCAGAAATGTGAGTATTGTTTGCTTGTGTAAAACATGGCACCAAAATGCTAGGCTGTTGTGGGCGGTTGCATATGATATACATGCAAACGTTCAAATATTTCAACACAAGCTCAAATCGGATCCGAAAATTCTGCGCATATATTCGTAATGCCACACAGCTCCCATACTACTCTCCATTGGAAACCAAGGGATTTCAAAAGCTCCACAAATATTGAGAAAGCTTTAACTTTGCAACAATGCATTCTGTTGTAGGCATCTGTTTCAATATGACATTCATATAAGCGAGTCCAGCTCTAATTGTACTCTATTCTCACATGATTTTAAATGACCCTCAGAAAGATCTTACACATTGCCATCTGCCAATGCTTGTGTGTATTATGGCGAAAAACTAGTTAGACTGACTTTGGACTATTACTCATTCAAAGTTCATTAATTAATGGAGTTGGTGGTTAGATATTGCAGTAAACTGTGTGATGCTGGTAATCATTGTGCCCTTAAAGGGTTAGTTCACCCAGAAATGAAAATTCTGTCAGTATTTACTCACCCTCATGTTGTTCCAAACCTCTATGTGTTTATTTGTTCTGCTGAACACAAAGGAAGATATTTGGAAGAATGTTTTAATCAAACAGATCTCATTCCCCATTGACTACCATAGTATGTATTTATTCCTATGGTAGTCAATGGGGAATGAGATCTGCTTGATTAAAACATTCTTCCAAATATGTTCCTTTGTGTTCAGCAGAACAAATAAACACATAGAGGTTTGGAACAATATGAGGGTGAGTAAATACTGACAGAATTTTCATTTTTGGGTGAACTAACCCTTTAAGATACCAAACCCTGGCTGAGTGATTTCTGAAGCTACTTGAGACAGATGTATGTTATATATAATGTTAGGAGTGTAATAATTTATATAAAAATGTATGTTTTAACATCATAAGCACATTGAAAGCCTTCTTAAAACATCTTAAAAGAAGTCTAAATAGAAAATGCAAATTCATTCTGCAGATTTTTACACAAAATCTGCACTGAAAAATGCTCAAACGTCTGCTGATTCCATCTGGACATGTTGTTGTTCTTCATCTCTGGAAACTTGACCAGCGTTCATGATTTGGTGCTAACTGATAAGCAAAGTCTACAAAAGATTTCATTCAGATGTCTCAGGCATCAAAAGTGTTAAATGAGATCGGTTCTGCGCTGCAAAGAGGGAACGTTTTAATGAATGTAAGAGTCTTGGAGTTTTGTTATGTTTATTGCCTATAAACTAATGCACAGTAAAGATACAAATTGAGAAAGATTTTCCTGTCGTTTTTTAGTGTTTTTATAGGCTTAGAGTAGAAAAATAATAGGACCAGAGGGAGGAAAATCAAATAGTATAATCACAATCTTGCAGTTCAACAGAAAAGTTTTATAAAATATACAGCTCCTCAGAATTATATAATATACAATATAAACATTGCACATGTAAAACAGACTCGTGTGTTTGCATATCTGTGTTTGTGTTTTTTTTAAAGGCACTGGACTGAGTGCAGCTTATTTCGGGGACTGGACTTTCTGCCTGCAGATATCCAAAGAAATGCAACTGGACTTGATTTAAAATGTTAATACAACATAAGATTTATGAACAGACGTGTACATGTGGCACAGTTTTAAGCACAACAACAGAATGTCTATGGAACATGATAGTGTCTGTTGTGAAAGTGTCTCTGTCTTTGGTTTTTTAGCACTCGGCATTGAAGGGTCAGTCTTTTTTCGTGATTAAACATTGTGCTACGTTTATCCACAAAGGCACATTTAGGAAAAGAGTTTGTCAGGAATGAGAGATCACCAGTTGCTGCCGTGGCTGCTGATTGATTGACAAGTGCTGAAACGTTTCTTCACTATTAGACTGATGTAAGCCTTCATGAGTTTTGCGATGTCCATCACCTACAGAGACAATCAAATAGAGGTATAAATCAAATATAAATCAAATTAATATATTTTACACTTTTATTTTATTTTTGTGAAATAGTAAGTAATTGTGTTGTTTTTATTAGTTTTTCTTTAAATATGTCTTTATAGTTTTAATAAATATTTATTTCAGGTTTAGTTTTAGTTAGTTTAGTACTTTAAGTTATACCAAATGAAAAATAAATAAAATGAAATAATTAATGATCATGTTTATTTTTCAAAAGGTTTTGATTAAACTAAAACATGGTTATTCAAGCCTTCAAAATGACATACCAAAAAATAAAATGATGTAAATGTGAGGAGTGTTTATGGATGGTTGTTAAGTGGCAATGGTGGACAGTAATGAGGCATTAATACTCTAATACTGTATTAGCATTAAGTTTGGGAAAAATTCAATGGATTATATCTTATTTTTTATTCAACTACAATGCCAAAATAAAGAACTAAAGACTCGCTTTGACCCTGTTTACACCTGGTATTAAGATGCGTTTCGGTCGATCGGATCACAAGGAGAAGAGGGAGATGCATTCCAGTTTACACCTGGTGTTTTAATCTCTATTGTCCACTTTCAAACACTTCTGTCCTGATTTCTTCAAGGGAAGGGTCTATGGGCGGGTACATTTATGGGATTTTTCTGATCTTTCGATCCAATGGACGAAATAAGCTTACGCAATTTACATATGAAATACACCAGAGATGACAAAAAACAAGAAGAAAACACGCAAAGCATCAGCTTTCGATTCTGGTCTGAAACCAGCAAGACCAACCGAACGCTGTGAGTGAATTTTAGAAATCAGGAATGGTGAGAGAACATTGTGCTTGGTACGTTCAAACCAAACTTAGGTCTTTAGCCGACAAAGTTTAAATCCCGTCTATTTAATTGGCTAGAACTACAAACTGATGAGTTAAATGTTTGAATCATTCAGAGTGAGTCTTGAGTTAAAGGAGTAGTTGACTTTTAAAAAAAACTTTTGCTGATAATTTACTCACCCTCATGTCATCCAAGATATCCATGTCATTCTTTCTTCAGTCGAAAAGAAATTAAGATTTTTGTTGAAAACATTCCAGGATTTTTCTCCATATAATGGACTTCAATGGTAACCAAACGGTTCAAGGTCCCTGTTCAAAGGGCTTTAAACGATTCCAGACGATGAATAAGGGTCTTATCAAGCGAAACGATCGCTCATTTAAAAAAAAAAAAAAACAACAAAATTTAAGTTTTATAATCTCAAATGCTCACTTTGCTCTGTTCAGTGTGACTCTCCTGTTCGAACTCGTTTATCAAAATGAACGAATCTTTTTTCGTGTCATTTGGTTCGTTAAAAAAATTATAATTATATTTATATAATTGATAATACCCTTATTCATCGTCTGGAATCGTTTAAAGCCCTTTGAACAGTTTGCACTGAAACTGTCTTTTAGACCTTGAACCGTTTGGTTCCCATTGAAGTGCATTATATGGAGCAAAATCCTGAAGTGTTTTCATCAAAAATCTTAATTTCTTTTCAACTGAAGAAAGAAAGACATGGACATCTTGGGTGACATGGGGGTGAGTAAATTATCAGCAAAAGTTTTTTTTAAAGTGAACTACTCCTTTAACAACTCAGAAAAAAATGGGTCCTTGAAAATGATCCTTAAATGTGTGGAAGAACGATAATTAAGTTACTATAAATAACAAATGTTAGTGTATTGTAGAAGCATGGGAAACAGTTTGTACCATGATGGTGTTGAAGAGGAGCTCTCGTCCCTCCACGCTGATCTTGTACATGTTTGGCTGCGGTGCACCAAAGGACAGAATGACCTCGTAGAGAAACACCTCCAGAGGCCACGCCTCCCCGCGCTTGTACACGCACACCCCCTTACGACTCACGCCCAACCACAGCTCTCCAGGATACACACCGTCGACACACTGATGCACACAGAGAATATAGTCAGCGACACTCCTGGCTGATGACGTGAGTGTCAGTGTACTGGTTTGACCTACATTATGAGGACCCAAAATTCTTATAGTGTGTATTCAGGTTTCAGGCCACGCCCCCTACATTATGAGGACACCCCAATGTACACATACTAAATTATTTTTTATTAAAAATGTAAAAATGCTGAAAGTTTTCAGTGATGGGTAGTTGTACCAACATGTGTGTGTGTTCTCACCTCCACATCAAAGAGGGTGGAGCCATATCCCTGCCATTCCTTGATGAGACCCATGTACTTTTTCATGGCTTGGTCCTGTTCCATCCCCTGCAGTTTACGCCATTTCTCCACCAAACAGCTTCTAAGCCCCGCCTTCTCGTCTTGCAGCCATGCATCTATGGCCCCAGGCTCCTCCACTTGGCGCTGTCGCCCCAGTGTCCCTCGGAAGCTCCGCCTCAGCGTGCCTTCCAGGAAACTCCCTCTCTTTCTGTCAGTGGATGGTGTGGCAGATGCAAAGCACCGAGCGGACTGCTGTACTCGAGCACGCAGACGGGCCATGGGGAACACCTGCTCCAACTCAGGCAAGACACTCTGCGTAGAGAAGTCTCCCAACAAATACTGCAGCCGAAGAGCGGCCAGAAACTGCAAAGTCTCTTCTGGGGCAGGATACTGACCCCTAATGACAGCTTCATGAGCCTGTGAGAGAGAGAGAGAGTTTGTGAAACATTTACAGTGAAGAAATTGCCCTGAAAATCGTTTGTTTTTGGCTTGAAAGTCAATAGGTTTATTATTAAAAAACTGTACATGAATGATTGAGTGTGTATTTGTGTGTGACCAACATAATAGAAGACTATGTTATGATACGTTCTGAGACAATGCATTTGTTTGCATGTGCACATAGACCAAAAATCTGGCTATTTACTGTATCGACCTTTTTTTGTAATGACTACACAATTCTTTGAGCTGCCACATTAATGTAATTTACTCTGCAATTATTTGTAAATGTGATTAAATAATACGTATCAATGTATGCATATTTAAGTGATTGGCAGTCCTGTTATTTATGTATTTTAAGGCCAGATATTAAACTGAAATCAGACCTGCTCAAACATGAAAGCAAACTCCACACTGTCAGCAGGAACGCTCTCAGGTTCTGAGAAACAGAAAAGCTTGAAATAAAACTTCCAGCCATCTCCTTCCTGTTCTTTATCTGCCAACCTGAATGAGAGAAATATAGAGAGTGAATGAATAATATCACAACATTTTTCCCCACATAATGAAAATAACAATAACATGTGCTTTTAACAATGATTTTTTTGGTAATGTGATGCATAAAATCTTCCTATAGTACACGACGGAAATCACACCAGCTGATTAATGACCCACTCTTTTTTCAGCCAATCAGAAAACGCTCTCTGCCTCATGTATTTATGTTTCCTCAAATATCTTTATAGGGCAGCACCTTTAAATCATTTTACATCAGATTAAGTGTTCTATATTGATGGTTTTAATAGTTTACAATTACAGCATTAATAAAAAAGAATATACAATTTATATATATATATATATATGTAAATAAATATAACATTTTAAGGTATGTGATTCACTCACTTCTCAAACTTAGCAAGGACGTCGGCCACCACAGTCCTGG